TTCTTACAAGACATCAATCATAGGGAGGACTCATCCTTCCTTCTCTTTTTAGGTTCATCTTTGGCCCAGGGAGAAATTTTACTATTATTGTCATAGGTATCAATCTTAAACATCAAGGAATTAGGACTTCCTAAATTAATGTCTGTGACATAGAATCATTGCATTAATATAACCACACAACAGCACTTTATATTTATTTACAGTATCTATAGAGAGAAAATATTGGAAGAATTTTTCAAGCCTGGTACACGGTAATAGCTGTAATCTAATTTGACTAATCAAATACATGAACATTATTAGGCAAAAGCAATATCATATTTATTTAACTGGTGCACAAAATATATTAAGAATTTTACTTTATTTACATAATAGATTGGAAAAATGAGGTGAGATAAGGTTATGTTCAGAAATTATTTATCCCCCATACTGTAGCATTTACAACAAAGACTAAGTCAGGTAGACAGATTTGACATTTTTGAAATTTTCTTGTATTACAATGAAGCTAAAATTCATATCCAGTCATCTCCACACCAACTTTCTTTTATCTTTCTATGTTCTCTGGTTCTCCAAGGTGTGTGCTGGTATAAGTGGTCACCATAAAGTAAATGAGTACCATTCCCCATGATACCTGTCTCCTCAAACACTCAATCATAGGTCACCTCTTTCAGACAGTTTTCTACATGAAGGAACAAGTAGTAAATTTTTACAAACAAGCAGGTAAAGTTAAAGAAGGGAATATATTTCTTTCGTTTTCATGAAATATTTCATTGGAATATGCTCATTGAAATTGCCTTTATTCTGAAGATTTTTTTCTTTGTTATATAGACAAATATTCACCATTGCTCTTTATTTTTTCTTATAAAAATCCAGCATGTGAGCCTGGTCTTGGTTGCGCATGCCTTCAATCCCAGCATTTGGGAGGCAGGGGCAGACAGACTTCTTGAGTTTGAAGCCACCCTGGTTTACAGAGATAGTTCCAGGACAGGTACCAAAGCAATACAGACAATAAGAAAAAATCCAAAACAAACAAATATCCAGCATTTTTTTTTGTATTTCTTCCTGGATTAACATATGACCAGAAAATGATAGTTATACAAAAATAGTCTTACTAGTAACTAAGCAAGAATCCTAGTAATGGGAAATATAGAGCCTGAACTATCCATTTTCTCTAAGAAAGCAGGGCTTCTAGTGGTGAGCCTGGGACACCAAGTCAGACACAAAACTTTCAATATATAATTGATCCTGCTTACAAAATGTGCTGACTTAATATTGGCACAGAACTTGTGGGAGTGGCCAACCAATGACTGGGTCAACTTGATGCCCACACCAGGGAAGCAAGCCCATGCCTGACATTGCCTGGATGGCTAGGAACCAGAGTCTGGATAGGCTAGAGACCTAAAATGGGACCAAACACTAATAACAACAACAACAGCAAAAGAATCAAGGAAATTATGCCTAATGAGTATATGCTATACTCATAGTTCTGTGCCTAGCCCAGTTATCAGTTCACTTAGCAATTGATGGGAGCAAATACAGAGACCCATAGTCAAACATTAGGCAGAACCAGGGGAATTCTGAGGAAAGGAACCAAGAAGGACTGAAGGAGCTAGAGATGTCAAGGACATCATAAGAACATAGCCAACAGAATCGCTAAGCAAGAGTCATAAGGGCTCATGTAGACTAAAGCAACAATCCAGGATCTGGTATGGGTCTGAGCTAGGTCCTGTGCATACATATTACAGTTGTGAGGCTGGATGTTCTTTGGGGAATACTAATAGTCAGATTAGGGGTTTTCTCTGACTCTTTTGCCTGCTCTTGGGATCCTTTTCCTATTACTGCGTTGCCTCATCCACACTCATTATAACTTGCTATGCTGTGTTTGGTTGATTTCCCTGAGAGTCCTGCTCTTTGCTGAAGGAAACTGGAGGAGGAGTGGATCTGGGGAAAAGGTGAGGTTAGGGGGAGGGAATGACAGGAGTGGAGGGAGGGAATCTACAGTTAGAATCTAATATATGAGAGAGGAATAAATAAAGAAAAGACTAAATTTTATACAGCTTATAAAAGACTCATTTGACTTTTGGTGATAAACAGGTATTAAAAACAAAAAAAATGATGGTGTGGTATTCTATACAGTTAGGGCCATCATTCAGTGGGCAAAATGTAAGAGCTGAAAATGCTTTTCTTTGTTAATCCATCAGTCAAGCATATTAAGACTATATTTTTATCATTCTTCTTAAATGTATTCCTTTTGATCAAATTTTATGACACAATTGATTTAAAGTTCTATCATTTAATTATCAGATGCCTATGACATTTTAAATGTTCTTCATTGATTGATTAGAAATACATAATTTTCTTTTTTGTTTTTTATTTATTTATTTTTCTTATTTTAGCTATTGATCCCAGTTTCCTCTCCGTCCCTCCCTCCTTCCCCCCTTCCACTCTCCCATGCACCCTGACCAACCTCTCATCCCACTCCCCCCTACTCCACATGTAGGTGATGCCTTTCTGGAGGGGTCATCTAAGTCTGTCAAGTCATTTGGAGTAGGGACTAGGCCCTCTCTCTTGCCTCTAGGTTAAGGGAGTATCCCTCCATGGGGAATGAGCTCCCAAAGTACTTTTGTGCACTAGGGATACATCCTGATTCCACTGTCAGATGTCCTTTAGACTTCCCAGGCCTTTTAACTGAGACCCATGTTCAGGGGGTCTGAGTCGGTCCAATGCTGGATTCCCAGTTATCAGTGTGGGGGTTCATTAGCTCCTCCTTGTCCAAGTCAGCTGTCTCTGTGGGTTACTGTAGCCTGGTCTTGTCCTCTCTCTCTGCATTTGTATTCCAGTTCAGCTCAGTGTTTAGCTGCAGGTTTCTGCTTCTTTTCATTTTCATTTCAAAATTTGTTTGTACCTATTTGTGTCTTTAGTATATTGGCTCTTTAAGAGATGTGCCATGACAGCTAGAGAAGAACATATCTATCTCTTTCTATCTCTCTCTATCTGTGTGTGTGTGTGTGTGTGTGCGCACGCGCGTGTGTGCGCGTGTACATGCATGTGTGTAACTTTTTGATGATTTGAAAATTCTATATATGTATCAATATTTTTCTCTTTACAAATTGTACTTACAGAATTCATTATTAAAAGTAGAGCATACTGCTTCAGGTGTCTTTATATTATCTCTCCTTTCTTCATTCACTTTTGTAACATTCATTTCTACCTCAATGTATTTTGAGGATTGTATATTGCCGTGTGTGTGTGTGTGTGTGTGTGTGTGTGTGTGCGCGCGCGCGCGCGTGCGCTATTGATAAACTATTGATAGACTCATATTATCCTTACATGAAGTCATAATGCTCATAGTAATTTCTCTCTAAGAACCAAGTTTATCATAACGTCTTAACATCTCTCTAGTTCATTTTGGTTAGTGGCTGTATGTGCTTTCTTTGCAAATCTTTTCAATATAACCAATGGCAAGGGAATGGGCAAATGTCCTCGGATTTGGGTTTTATTCATCTGTATTTTAGGTGCAAGCTACATTAGTACACTATTTTCCAAAATATAAATATTTTCATGGTATCCTATGTTTTCAGTAATTAGTGTCATTAGAAATCAACTACTGTATTTTAATTGTCAATGCTCCATAATATCCATGTATTAAATGTTACTTAGTAAGATATCAAAGAACTTGTACTCCAGTTCAGAAATAATCAATTCTCCAAGCTTTATTCTTTCTTGGGAAGGATGTATTCCTCCATAGAATCTGAATCTCTTCCTTGGCTTTTGGCTTTATTCTAGTTTCTATTATTTTGCTATACCATGAAGCATTTGTTGCCTGTATTATCATCAGGCTTGCAAGTTCAATGATCCTTGTTGCTCCTTTCTCAGTTGTATAGTTACCTCCAAGCAGTCACATAATCTTTATGAATGTGTTCTGTCCTTCCTATCATATATTTATTATTTATATGGGAAAATTGGATCAGGTCTACCAGTGTAAGATACATTCCATTTCAATAACAATATCATTCCCTAGTCTTCTAAATCTCCATTTGCACCTACCAAATCAGACATGTGGAGGGTGAACCTGGAACTCTGAAATCTTGATTGAACTAACTCTGTTGGAAATTAATAAGTAAGTACTTACAACAAACAATAACAACAGAGAATCCATTGTTTCATTGTTCACAATATCACCTTCTGTAAGCTGGGTCAACTGCCAGCAATTTCACTTTACCATATGTAAAATAAGATGTTAAAGATATTAAAAGTTCATAGATTGAATCTGACATTACTTTCAGATCCATAAAATGAATGATAAAAAGTATTAGATTTGAAGGTTGAAATTAAATGGGTAGTTGTTAATAATAAGCTGTCATTAAAATGTGTGGAAGTCTTCCCCAAAATCACCAGTGAATACAGAATTCCTCACTATCTTATATACAAATGATTGCATCTTATTATTGAAACAATCACTGGGTCTCCAGGCCTCTAGATGCTTAAATTGTAAAACATAAGAATTCAAACATAATCTACAGTTCTAATATCTTGAGACAACACTGAATGATTTAATGATAGGCACCTCTGAATAGTTAGTACTACAAATACCATATAACTAAAGGCCTGCAGCTGTAATTTTCAACATTATCCTTTTAGCAATCATTTTTAACATATATTCCTTATTAAAACAGTTCAGAAAACTATTATTGGTAAGTTCCATTAAAATTAATCCAAGCCGATTTTGCTTTCCTGAGGAAATTTACTAGTAATAATTTTATGACTATGATCTTTGAAAATGGCACAATTCACCCACGTGTACAAATGGGTTTGGGTTTTACAAGCTTCAGTAGTTAAACATTCCCCACGTGTACAAATGGGTTTGGGTTTTACAAGCTTCAGTAGTTAAACATCCTTCCCAGGAAGATCTATAAATGAAAGTACTCATTGCTTCCTGACTGCAAAGCAAACTGACTTTCCTAAGAAGATCAGTTGTCAATTCTTGCCTAAGAAACTGTACCATGAAGACTCATCTCTTTTTCCTTATTCTCCTCTTTTGGGTCACAGTTTTACAAGGTAATATGAAAGCAATTGTCAGAGGTATTTGTAGAAAGGGATTTACGAAGGCATCACTTGCTGTTTGTTAAAAATTATTTTTTAAAAGTAAGAATGAGAATATTGTTTTGATAGATTTACTATGGAATTTTTGAATTGCAAAAAAAATAGTTACTAGTGGGAAACCCAGTGAGATAGGAAGAAACTATAGTGTAGCCAATAAAATTATATTAATATTATTTTTCTGCTTATGGATATTATAATGTATTTTCAAAATATAACAAATGGTAGGATTGGACTCCACTGTGTTCAGACTCCAATATGTTCAAATCTGAAATTACCATAAAGTTTAAAATTAAAATAACCACATTCTTCCTATATATGTTAAGTATTCATTCCTGGTGGATTTATACTTTTTTGAAAACTATTGTTGAGCATTATCAACTGTAAGGTGTAAATAGCTCAGTGTCCAAATATTTAATTCATTTTTTGTACTCTACAACAATAGAGTATTAGTTAAGTGCTTTTTGTTAGTTTTCTCAGGATTACAAGCCAGTTACATTTCTTGTTGGTTTTCTTTTATTTATTTCTTGTCTATATTATCTACTGTGTTTTGGTTAAAAAAAATTCCCTGAAGGATTAACTTTTCCCAGCAGGATAGTGTAAATTACTGGTCTTCTTATGAAATTATATGTGTTCATTAACTGTAAAAAAGCAAACTAAGAATGCTGACTTCAATATTTTATCTGGTTTTACATTAATAAAGTAGCTGATGCATTCAAACAGTCTACCCATTGTACAAAACAGACTCCATATGGACTCTAATACATAATAGGTCATTTCCCTACTTTTCTGCAATAAGTAATACAAGTTAATAATTACATATATATATATATATACATATATATATATATATATTTCAAGCATATATATCACATACCTCTTCAGATACCACTATTAGTAACCAGAGTTACTTATCCATTTATTCAACAAAATGATAAATTTGCATGCAATACAGGATTGGAAAGTATACATCACTTAGATGATAAAGTAGCATTAATTATATTGTCTGTCAATGCTCTTATGTATTTCTCTTTTACTTTCAAAGACTATGACTGCTTTAAAATTATACATGAACTAACCTTATAGAGAACTCTTGTTATCACAGACAAAAGCACTATGAAAAAAACAATTGTCACTCATCTGGATGTTATTTTCTTTTCACTATCAGGAAAGGCATACTACACAATTTTTTAGGAAGCAACTAATAGGCTTACTTTCCCAAACTTATAGTAGTAGGATGGAACTGAATAAAAACAGTGTCACTGGTGCTTAAGAATGCTTGTTGTTTTTACAGAGGACCTGAGATCAGTGCCTCAGCTCTAAGCACCCACATTGGGCAGTTCAAGACAACCCTGAACCCCAACTCTAGGCAATTTAATAATCTGTTCTGGCCTCTATATTCACCTTCATATGTGTGGTGCACATAACCTCTAATGCAGGGACACACATATAAACATAAGTAAAATAAACATAAGTAAAACATGAGTGAAATCTTTGATCTCCATGTACTTGGGTGTTCACAGTATGACCAAACATCCAGAGACCACACTCTTTAAAAGCACTCCCCTAGAAGCCATGAACTGTCAACAGCTCCTCAGCCAATTATTGGGCTTCATGCAGGGCTGTTTGGCTTGAATTTCAGGTTTAGTCACAGCTGTCCAGAGTATTTTGATTTGATCCTCCCCTACCTCTGAATCTTTAAACTTAAATATTATTTACGTGAAAATTCTTATTTAAAGCTGAATTATAAGTATACTACCATTGATTAATGTCCTCAAAATTTCTATGCAAGAAAATTCCATTAGTGTAACTTAGTCTCATCTGCAGTTTTTAGACACTATAAATGCACAGAAATTCTAGAAATTGGATACTTTTATAGCTCCACTATTTTCATTTTTTTCTGTCAAATGGAGAATTGTTTTATTATCAATGAACATTTTTATTTAAAATCTGATATGTTCTGAATACAGGACAGCATATTTTTGTATCAAAAGGATCACATTATTTTTTTTCACTGATACCCCAAATATTCATGGTAATCTAAAAAATAAAATAAGCAAACAAATAAAAATGCATAGAAGTTGTAGGTGAAAGAAGTATTTGGGGAAGAATTCTGTTAATTAATTAAATACATGTACTACTTAAAGAAATCTCTATCATCTGAGACTATTAGAACAATATAAGTGATAAAGAAATGGAGTGGCATTCTTCTGAAACACATAAGCAGTTGCTTCAGAGTGAGGATACTTTTGTGATTCATGCATTGAACACAAAGGACTATTTATTTGTCTTTCCACAGTATTATTAAAACACTGATTCTCCATTAGGAGTGACATTGCACCTGAGAAGACATTAAGAAATGCTTGGAGAACGTTTGTCATAGATTGAACTACTGGCAACAGTTAGGTAAATTTCGGAAAGGCAGCTAAATTACCCACAGTGCACAGAACAAGTCACTCAAGACAAATATTTGCTCAACCACAAATTCTACTTTGCTTAGGATGAGAAGGCTACCGTAGAGCCTGCCAAAACTCTCCAGAGTTATTTCTAAGAATAACCACCTGGTATAGCAGCAAACTCTTGTAAACCCAACACTGCAGAGGCAGCATCAGGGGATCAGGAGTTCAAGACCATCTCTGGCTACATAGTAATTTTGAAGTCAGCCTGATTTTAATGAAATCCTGCCTTTAAAAGAAAGGACTCTAATTTCAGTTTTGCAGTTCTAGACAAAGACATGACAAAATTCACCATGGCAGAATATCAGTATTTGTAGAACCTGCTAATAACCACAGCTACAAATTATTCAATCATTCTTTTTTTTTTTTTTTTGTTTTTACTGACTCAAAAGGAATTGAAAGCAAAGGAGGAGTTAGTCAACTTCTTTTTCCCCAAAAATAAAGAAAATATTTCATGTTTTATGCAGACTATAAGCTCAAGTCTCACTGAATATGAAAGCATTTCAATACAACGTGTAAGGAGATATGTGTCAATGACACTGTATGCCATTAAAGAGTGGCAGGGTAGGTTTGGCTCCTAAGCACACTTCATTCATTAGCAATATTAACACAATAAAGAGAAGTCTGAAAATGCCTTTTTAAACAGTTCTTCTTTCAGAAGTGTTGTGGTAATTTTAAAAATCATGTAAGGGTGAAATTGATTGCACATTCTCTCTCTCTCTCTCTCTCTCTCTCTCTCTCTCTCTCTCTCTCTCTCTCTCTCTCTCCCTATTTCCCTGTACCACTCTCTCTTTACGTGTGTCTGTGTGTGTGTCTGTGTGTTCCTCTATGCTCCTTTTCCCTTCCCTCTCCCTCTCCTCACATTTTCTCCTTGATCAATGCTTTTGTGACATAGAGATATAATTTAGTTCAAATATTTGTGAAAGAAAAATCACAAAATGTCCAGAAAAGTTGCGAGCATTTGAACAAACAAATATTTACCATTGCCCAATTCGCAACAGTTTTGAAAGTTAAAATTAAGTTGCAATGCGTTTTTTAATAGGTTTCAGTAAGGAAGGACTCAAAAGAAATAAGAGTCTAGTTGATTATTTATGAGAGCAGAAAAGGCCATCCTTATTCTATGGAGAGCTGTGGAAAAAGGCCACACAATGTAAATCATGATCCGTGTTTGCCATTTTCTTCAGAATGTGTTCCTGAGTAACCACCCAGTCATTCATAAACACCTACTCACTTTCTGAAGTCTAGAATACTCTTTCTATAAGGCAATAATGAATTCACTTAAACTTTCTCTAGCATTTGAAAATGGTCACACAATTTTTTTTTTACTCCTTATGGATATGTCATATATAGTTTCCTAATTCAATCCAATCTTTCCTTCTTACAGCCAAAAAGATGTTTCCAGAGTATGGTAACTTGGATTTGAGGAATGAGTGCAAAATGAAGAAAGGTCGCTGTAAAATCTATTGCTCTGAATTTGAATATAGGATTGCTTACTGCATAAGACCTGGAGTTCACTGCTGCCTCTAGCATTAAAGCTGGTAGATGAAAAGATACATATAAATCAAGAAGAACAAGTATTCCCAAGAAAACTTTCAAGAATGAAATAAAATTTGATCCTGCATCATTCAGAGGCTGTTCTATATTACATATTAATTGGTGCATTCAAAAAGAAGCTGAGTCCATATTGTGAACATTCCTTGAACCGTACTCAGAATTTTGCATAGTTCACACAGTAAGATGATGGCAAAGTCTAAGTCAAAGAAAAGACATATATCTCCAATAGATATGCACTAGTAATATACTACCCCCCGTGGAAAATTTATGAACTACTAGGCTTGAAGACTAGATATTGAGAACATAGACCACTATCATGAGGTACAAAGGGCTTAATAAAGAGAATAATCAAGCATAGAAACAAAGCAGCAAAGAAAATTCATATGACCACTGGTATCTACTCATGATTATTATTTAGTGAAGAGAATTGTGACTGAAAAATGATGGGGGCATTTCAGAAAGGAGAATGTAGACATAATTATTTTGTATAAAATAAAAACTGTGCCCAATAGTTTAATCTGATCTTTGTTCCAAAGAACTGGTATCACATAAGGATATACACATAAGGAAGAAACACCCATCTTTATATTTTCTCCATTATTTAGTCTCGATATCTCTCCCACCTCTGAGCGAAACAAAATTCTGACCTGTAACTCTACATAATAAATTCATACAACATCCACTCCAAATTCCTATTTTTTATTATAGGAATACAATAGAAATACAATTTAGCAACTTACATCAAATCATAATTCTTGTGAAATATTCACTCACCCTATAAAATAGATTTTTGTCAAATTAGTTAATGGAAAAGGACATTATAAAAGACATGCATGTAGACTAGAATTTTAATCAGAAAAAGACAGGAAAAAATAATTTATTCTATTGTAGTCTCACTATAAGTTTATTCCTGTATCCAGATACAGATGACAGATGTGAATAAATTCATGCTAAACATTATTTACAATAATTCCACATACATGGTAATAATAAGTTGCCACTTCAGAGGTTATACAGTAGTGTGTGTGAGTGAGTGTGTGTGTGTGTGTGTGTGCATGCATGTGAGAGAGAGACAGAAAGAGAGAAAAGACAGAGATAAATTTTCATTCAAAGAATACATGTGTTCCATAGCAAAGCAATTATTTTCTAAGTATACACTGGAGCTTTTGTGTATTTTCCTTTTCCAGATTTTAATATCTTTCAAAGTCAGATTATTTCATGTATTTCCTTGCATCATATACACTGAAAAGGATTTTATATCTTACAGTAGTCATTTGCAGTAGGCTCCCTCTGCCTTAGCATTCTTAGTAATGTGGTTTGGACAATTATCTTTACACAATTTACATGTTACATTGCATGTCAACTGTCAGGACATATCGAAGTATCTATGTTCTTCCTTAGCTGGCATATGTGTGTCTATGTACACACACTCATGGAGGTGCCTGACACACACACACACACACACACACACACACACATATGCACGCACGCATGCACGCATGTACGCATGTACGCACGCGCGTGGGGAACTCCAAAGGCTGAGTATATGTTTGATATATTAAGTAGAAGTAGCTGGAGTTCATTAGAGATTGCCAGTGGGACACAAGGGTTACTCCAAGATTCTTGTCTGGGCACTCACCAAGTAAGTTTTGTCATTTATTGAAAGGATACAGTCACTGCAACAAATTTGAGCTGGATTACTCACTTAGTTCTGTCTACCTGAACTTGGAAAGGTAGAACGGATTTTAGAAGAGATTATATGGAGAAGACAGAAAACCACTGGCTGTGTTGAATATGCTGACACTGTGAACTGCTGAGAAAGGAGAGCAACTCGTTTCAGTCAAAGTGTTAGTGATTTCCTGCAGCGTGAGGACTGTGTCTCTTAACAGGGAGTGGTAGAACTCACAAATATGGAGGCTGGCAGCAAATTCGCACAGTGCAAAAGCCTTAGGAAGTCTCTTTAAAATGTTCAATGGGGTACTGGAAAAAAAAATGAGAAGAGCTAGGAGTGGAGCTGGCAAGGGATCTGGAATTATAAAGTAGATTAAATGCTGTGTTCGGATCTTTAAAATCAGGGCGGGACCTGATTTACAAACCCCCTCCATCACTTCCATTTTCTTCCTTACCCTCATATTGATGCATGCAGCTCTGTACTGTGCATGACTCAAATTAATTTCACAATTCAGTCGCTTTATGTGATTTTTCTTGATTAGTTCAATTGTTCTCAACTCTCTTATCTAAAAAGAATTTGACTGTCTCATCCTATTTTTTCCCTCCATGGTGTTTTCTACCAGACTCCTTGGCAATTGACCTAGACTTACTTACCATTTTACAATTTTTTTTTTAACTTAAATGAGGAGTTTATTTAGAAAGGGGAGTGAGGGAGAAGGGACGAGACATACAGGTACCGGGAACAGAAGGGGGAGAGAAAAAGAGAGAGGGGTTAGCTAGTGGCCAACCAAAAGCAGGAGAGAGAGAGAGAGAGAGAGAGAGAGAGAGAGAGAGAGAGAGAGAGAGAGAGAGAGAGAGAGAGAGCAAAAAGAGAGAGCAAAAGAGCAAAAGAGAGTATAAGTGGGCAGAGGTCTGTCTTTTAAAAGGGTCCTTTACACCTGCGTGCAGACTAGTACTCATGGAACCCTGGGCTGACCAGAGTACTGCCTGAGTGCATTCTACCAGGTGACAGAGGCAGGCCAGTATAATGCCTGAATCCTTACATTCCCACTTTTACTTATTAAAAAGGTGAGGAGTTAAGCGTGGCAGGTTAGGGAATAAGGATGTTGTGTTCTCAAGACCACGGCCTGCAGACTTGGGGGTGTTGATTGTCTTTGAGGGATCTGAGAAAACTGGGATGCCACCACATCCTGGTAGCTGGTTGTTTCTTCGTAATCCTGGCAGTATGGAATCTGGTGTCTCTTTGAGACCGAACTGTAGTCATTATGCAATGGTATTTCCAGCGAATGGGTGGATGGAACTGGACTGTGGGTTCATATTTGGGGTCCCCAAACGCCTCTGACTTGCGGTCTGCCAGCAGATGACGGAGTTCTCGAGGAGGGCCTGACTGAGTTTCGGCACCAAAACGATGTTCTTTTGTTACAGTTATAACAATAAAAGGTGGAGAAGGAGGGGAGGGTACCAAGTGAGGGTCCCAGGTGAGTGGGGTCCCAATGAAAGGGACCACATGGGAGAGCATAACAGGTTCCACAGCAGGTGAGGGTGACCAAGGTAGTGAGGGCCATTTTAAAACTTTTACACACAGTCGCCCACCTGTATTCACCAATGTGAATCCAGCAACACACATTGCAGAGACCTTGCAAACTCATGGAAATTAAACAATGCACAATTGCAGCATCCTAGGTCAACAAGAAATAAAGAAAGAAATTAAAGTCTTCCTAGAATTCAAGGAGGATGAAGACACAACATACCCAAACATATAGGACAATTTAAAGCATAGGACCAACACAGAACCCCTAAATGTGGGTGTTAGTTAGGAGGACTGGGCAGTCTATAGTGCCTCTGGTGAAAGACCCCACTATGCATATTGCCTGTTTGAACTGCTCTTGCCAATTTGCCAAGGTCAAGTTATGGGAAAAGTACAGGAGGGAACCAGGTGCTGCTCTCATCCAACGCCAACCAGATATCTGTGGTCTGCAGCTTAGACCAAAGCAAGGTCAGCAGGACGGTATCAGGGATGCTGAGATAGTCATAACTGAATTCTTTGTATTCTTCGTGCCCAACCCGAATAACCAACTGTCCTTGGTTAACTACAATCGCTATATTTAGATGAAACAATGAAGTCCCTATAACCATGCTTCTGCTTCTGTAAGCCTGCTTCTTGCCACCCCAACCCTATATAAGCTGCATATGCTTTAACCACGCAAGCTCTCAGTCTCCTGAAAGACTGAAGCATCCACAGGTACCTGTGTGTAAACATTAAACAGCCTCTTGCACTTGCATCCAGTGGTCTGGTCTCTTCTCTTGGGGCAAGGGCCTCCACCCGACAGGCTCTGAACTCTTGGGGTCTTTCACTGGTAATGGATCAGTATTTATCCCTAGTATAGGAATGAACTTTGGGAGCCCATTCCACATAGAGGGATACTTCCTCAGCCTAGACACATGGGGGAGGGCCTATGATCCAAATGCTATGACAGACTTTGAAGATTCCCCCCCATGCAAGGCCTTAGAAAAGGGATGGGGTGGGGTTGGGGTTGTCAGGGGATGAGGGGAGGGTGAAGGATCCAGGATTGACATGTAAAACATGCTTGTTTCAATTTTATATAAAAACATAAAATGAATACAATGACATTTGTTTTAAAGTAGTAAAATGCTATATATACAGCGTGAAAAGTATAAATATTGGTTTAATAAGTAAGTAGACAAGGAAGTTGGTTTAATAAATGGAGAATAGAAAATTAGATCCAGGAGTTCCATGATGATGCAGGACACCCAAGATGCTGGTAGTTTCATCCATTCCCCAAACAACTGCTGAACTGTGAAAACAATGTACAGTTGCTCTTCTTCCTAGACACAGTTACTTCGTTATTAGAACATGCATTTTTAACTCAAATAAAAGAATATATCTGTAACTTTATATGTATACATATGAATTTTTTAGAAGTAGACATCAATGAATTATCCATGGCAATGGGCTTAATTATGACATTTTCATACATGTATAAAATGCATCTTGACCATATTCATCTCCAACTTCCTCTTTTTTTTACCCCTCCCATTGATCTCTTTTCTCTTTTCAGAGAGTTTCCTTCTACTTTCATGTCTTTCTTTTCCGTGGTTGCAGCCAGAAGTAGCATGCTGCCTAAGTAGAGACTTGAGAGGTGGGAAAAGGCGAGAGGAAAGTGTAAGACCTACTGTGATGAGGATGATTATGGATACTGCATCAGAAGGAAGAAGACATGTTGTATATAACCTGCCACACACACGTGCTACTTAATGTCCAGTCTGGAAAAGAGGTGTACCTTATCCTGACTCGAATGCCACTGGTAGCCAGACGTTATGAAGTTTGAGAACTGAGAAGTAAACCACTGTGTAGCCACACTGGAGTATATACTTGTGTGCATCTCTTGAAGAATAGCTAGATTGCTTCTGCATATTTTCTATTGCTATAAAAAGTGCTGTGAACATTTCTTATAAGGACTTTGTGTGGACATGTGTTTGCTTTTATGATTCTTAAATGATTACTTGGAAAATATATGAGGCATATGGTAATGTACATGTAACTTTTTAAGTAAACTACCAAAATGTTTTCTAAAATTATTTCACCCCTGCCTCTTTCTCTCTTTCCTCTCTTTCTCTCTGTGTGTCTTTCTATGTGTGTTATATTGTGTGTGCTGTATCCCTGTCCACATACCATGGTGCCCAAGTGGAGGTCCCAAGGATCATGCTTGGTTGTAAGTGCCTTTACAAGCATAGCCTTCTTGCTAGTCCTATTTTCAAAGTTTAAAATTTTAAACTCACTCATTAAGTAGGGAGTTGTGTTTCCTCCATTGTCTTGTGAAGGAAGTTCAGCCATTCCTTACTTTTACACACTCTAATAGGTATGATGCTGAATTTTAACTTGAACACAAATGAATGGTTACATTGAGCATTATAAAGTGCTTCCTTGGCACATATCTTTTAGAAATCATCAACTAAATCTCTGTACGGCATAAATCCAGTGTTGGTTTTAAATTCTATTTGAAAATCTTTGCATTGTCTATCTGGAGAAACTCTGTTCTTTGCTTATATTAAAAGACACACAACATAAAGTAGGAACACCGACCTTCGTCTTTTATCTTTGTTTTTCCTCAGTTTATCTATTTTCTTGGAAATGCATTCTCCACTGATGGTAGCTTCCTGTGTAGCATATTGCTTGAATGATTTAACAATTTTTGAGTGGTTTGATTGTATTTCATATACAATACCTACATAATCTATTAATTGTTGGTAACTGAACATTGCTATCATTAATTTTAACTTGAGATTATTTCTCTTGATAGTTGTAGTAGTTTTTTGTTCACATAATTTGAATCCCTGTAAGTAGATAGATAAATGTCCAGAATTTTCATCTCCTCTTACTTTTAAAGTTATTGATTTAAGTAGGATGACATCACTGTGTCACTCCTTTTCCTCCTTCCAGCCCCTCCCAGCTACCTTCCCTTTGACCCTTCACTTCCCCCATACATTCAAATTCACAGGCTCTTTTTCTTTGATTACATTTATTACACACACACACACACGTGTGCATGAATATATATAAATAAAAATTGTTGTGTGTATTTTATAATTTGTGTATAGATGTGGCACTCAAGACTTGACTACTCTGCCTTTACATTCTCTTAATAAGTATTTTATCATTATGAAATGGCTTAAAATTGTTAATGTAGTCTCTGCTTGAAAATTCTTTGTTGTACCTTAAAATGGGCCTGCCAAGTTTCTTTAAACAAATGCTAGCACATGATACCATTTCCATTCCACTTACTAAAGATTTACTTTTGTTTTAGAATTGTGGTGTGTTTTTCTCATCTAGTTGAGTGTTCATAGCATTAATTTAATTAAACTCGTTTAATAGGTACTCTACATAATTTTGCTTATAAGTATGTCATCTGAGTTCTTTTATGACCATGTTTTAATTAATTGTATATTTTTAAATAAATGTGTTTTGTTTGTTTGATTGAATTATGAAATACATACAACACATTGTGTTACTTTAAGGAATGTTCTGTTGTTTGGTGATGTCATCTTTAGCTTGTTTTTCTTTTTCTATTTCTCGATTCCTGACAGTTGAACTGTCATTGGGGACAGGAGCAGCAGAAGAGAAATGAGAGGCAGAGAGAGGTAGGGAAAGACAGAAAGACAGGCAGAGAAGCAGAGGAAGAGAGAGAGAGAGAGAGCTGGGCATGGGTTCTTTTAAAAGGTAATATAGTGAATGTGCACAGCTGGTGCTCTCAGTGGCTGCAGCTGAGAACATATCCTGTCAGAACCCCAAAGGCAGTCCAGTGCAAATTCCTGAATACTAACACTTTCCTTTTCAAATTGTGGAGATGAAAAAAAATCAAGTTATGAAATATATCAGAGCTCAATGATTACAATAGGCCTAATTGCATTGATTTTTTTTGTTCAGTAATTAGGTGATATGAATATTTAAATATTCTTTTTTTCTTAAAAGACTATGTCCATCTGTGTAAATAAATTTCCTTTCCTTAATCTTGTCTGATGCTCATAGCCTTTTGAGTAATGAGACATTAAAGAAAAATCATAGAAAGTTCTCCTTATGTTGGCCTGACAGGGAAGTAAGAGATGTCCTTTCACACTATGAACATGGATACTTAAAATAGAATATAATTTAAAATAACTACTAATTGGTTTGTGTACACTTGAATTAGGCAACACGTCTTGCTAGACAACAGATGAAACCAAAAGCAACCGTGAAGTGGGAGAGGATTAAATGGTTCAATATATGGAGGAGGTGAGGTGGGGAAAGTAAAATCAATCCATGTAGCAACTCTAGGCTTTATATTCGCAGTTCTTCACAAGAAAGAGCCCTGGAAAACTCACTGTTTGCGGTCTGGATATAAGTAGGTAGTAGAGTGCTTGCCTATCATGTGTCAGACTTTTTAGGCTTAATGCCCAACATAACCAGAAAACAGCAACAACAATACAACAAAAAGAAAGAACAAAATCATTGTTTAAGATTCTGACAAGTTCAAACTCATATATATATATATATATATATATATATATATATATATATATATGCCAGAAAATAAGAGTACGTAGAGATACATTTTGCAACTTGGAGAAATGAGACATTATCTGAGCTATCCTTTACGGATGGCAGCAGTGCTCCAGGTTACAGGAGAAGCTGGGAAGTGACAGAAGTGTCAACTCAGTGCCACAGCAAGTAAATTCAAAGCCATGAGTCAACAGCAGAGTTCTACAATGGTGAAGACTGTCTTGCCACTTCAAAGGAATATACTCTGGGCAGCAAAGACAACAAAGAAGACTTAATAAGATTCAAATGGGGACAGGGAGATCTGTGGGCTGGGTGCTCCAAATGGATTGTCCATGACTCGGAAACAGATTGTCTGAAACCTTCACCCACAACATTTTATTTTAGCCCCGCAGTTTATGGGGACAGAGGAGCAATGCTTTGAAAACAAGATTAATGAAGCATTTCAAGGGAACACTGACAATTTAGACTTCTGGAAAATTCACCATGTAACTATTTTTAATTTTGTAAAGTGAACTGCACGCCCTTTAAGTTACAGAAACTTAAGAAATAGCCTATAAGCTTGAATTAATTTTTTAAAACATGTTGATGAAGTATTCAACTAACAATTTCTCTCAGTAAATCACAGATTCCGTGACACTCTAAGATTCATTGACGGTCTCTACCGTCAATGATACAGCTAAGTTGTAAGTCACTTGCTTAGCATGCATGAGACTCAGAACACAATCCCCAGAATGAGGAAAGAAAACACAAGGCACTAAGAAATATGCCTCATGGATGAAATGTAAATATGTCTTTTCCAAAGTCAGGCAATCTTCTTCTACACCTTTCTTCTTCACAAATCCTCATCAAAAGTAGAAATAGGTAATTTTCTGTTTTTGTTTATTTGTTTTTGTTTTTGTTTTTTGAGACAGGGTTTCTCTGTGGCTTTAGAGGCTGTCCTGGAACTAGCTCTTATAGACCAGGCTGGTCTCAAACTCACAGAGATCCGCCTGCCTCTGCCTCTCGAGTGCTGAGATTAAAGGCGTGCACCACCAACGCCTGGCTTGAAGTAGGTAATTTTCTAATATTAATTTAAATAAGCATGCAATAGTTGTGATAGTTATAATCTTGAAATTCTTCAATAGCACATTTCCACTAGTGGCCCACTTCCTCCAGTGGGGACATGCCTCTTAGGTCTATTTGGCCATGAGCTTATGAATTAATTAATCCACCCAATAATTTAGCATGCTAGCGATTCACTCATCTCCCAATTATGTCACCAGCTGCACCCCAGCAAGCCATTATATCTAAACTGAAAGTTCCCAAATACATACCCTTGCTAGCCAATTTATTTTGCATCATATATTAGGAAAAGATACTGTATCTTCCTGTATTACTGACTAGAAAAATAGATTAACCAGAGAATTTCTGTCTTCTAACAATCATCTAACAAAGGCACATATTTTCATGTGCATTTATTTCAAATTTGAACACAGTGAAAATATTTATTGAAGACTGAAGGTTACTAAAAGCATCATTGTCTTTATAATTGTACACTCCCATTTTATTTCTCATCACATCTTGGGTGATATTGGTGAGGACCAGTAATGAGAGTGTAACAAAATAAGGACTTACACAGGTGATGTGCCCAAAGTCTGGATACTCAAAATGTGCTTCACATACTTAGGCATTTAAAATACACAGAATTTGTACAAAATAGAAAACCTCAGTGTTGACCTCAATTTTGTAGTGATATGTGATTTGATTTATTACATCTTGCCTGAGGAGTCAGAAAGCGAAGTCAGCCACAAGCCATAGAAACCAGGCACAAACCTTAATCCCACCAGCCAGAAGCTAGAAGATAGTGGTACACACCTTTAATTCTACGACTCAGGATTAAGATGTAGACAGATCTATATGAGTTCAAGGCTACCCAGGGACACATGTGATTGAATCAGTCTAAAAGAGTAACAAATCACATACCTTTAATCCCATCACTAGATGGGTTATAAAAGATACAAGCAGGGTCTTCACTATTCTGTAAAATACATTCATTCTCCAGCCACACTGAAGATATGCATTGATTCTCTAGTCACACTGAATATAGGAAGGATAAGAAGATATTAAAGTCTCAGGATTCTCCAGCCACGCTGAGGGGAGGCAGCAGTTTGAGTCTTGGTGAAGAGCTCTTTTGTGGATCAGCCTTTTCAGATTA